GGTCTGCTATTCTGTGTTCTTGGATTTTTGCGTCGTGATGAAAAGTATCGTTCATAACTTGTACCGAAAGTTATTATCCGGCACTTGCTCCATTATTCCCGTCCTCGGCTTCGCCTCGTACGTGAAAATAGCTCTCACATACTCGGCTTCGCCTCGCACGTGAAATTGGGGTTCCCTGTGTTCGGCTTCGCCTCACACAAAAACTTGAGCGCGCGACGGAAAATGCCACTTTCGGTCCTAGTAATGAAATATACTATTACGGTCAAGTTTATTTTTATGATTCAGGAGAGTAAAATAACATATGCTGTTCAAAAAGAGACAATGAAAATTGTTATCCAAATCTTATAGCTACAAGAGTTAGTTATCCAACCTATTTCGACAAATGAATCCATTCTTTCAAAACTTTGGGACAGGTATTAAGAAAAACTCCATTGAACAACACGAGAACTGAGAACGATCTGATGCGGGGCATATAATGTGACTGACAGACATCACGTTAAAATACCAACTTTCAATAGTGTTGCTGCTTTAACCTATTCAAAGCAGATTATGGCTGTCCAATTGGTAACCCAGAGTTTGTAAGTAAAAAATGGAGCAAATTAAATTGTCGATATATCACCCCACTTTTCAGGATTCTCTACGGAGAAAATTCGTTCGATTAAGGGGATGTCTCAAATAAAAGAAATAAAATGACCCAACTTAAATTACTTAACACAGTTTATCAATAAGGCAACAGTTTTTTTTTTCAATTGTCAATGCTGGAAAAACTTTGTTGCAACATGTTAACTCGAATTGGAGCAGACCGTTTAGCATTCATTAGAAGTTATCTGTTAAAACCGAGAGCAGAAATAATGTAGGTGAACCTTGACGAGGCAAATAGAGATATTTAAAATTAGTTTCTAGCAAGTGTTTAATTACTTGGGTTGAAGTTTCTTCTAGGGTAGAAAGTTTGAAAATCTAAACTATGCACAGCTAAGACAATATATCCAAGGCACGGACAGCGAGGGACAGTCACCGTAAGTTTGTATGTAACCAGAATTACTCGAATTTAAGCATAACGTTTTCCACGGCGTTATGTTTCATACTATGCGGCTCGTTGAGCTGCACGGGTTCTCTGGTATATATATATTACGCTAAGCCGATTTTTGTAAACAGAACTCCTCCCTCATTTTTGGACCGATTTTGATGATTGAAGTGTCAAAAAAATTGCCCTAATCTGTATTAGTTTGGGCAGGATCTTCCATCAAAGTTTAGGTTTTCTCCAATAAAATTAACATGGGGGAATTTAAATATTTAATTGGAAACTTTGTCTCCACTAATTTGAGAGAACGGCTGGGTGTAGAAAATTGGTAGAGGTCTCCCAAAGAAAGGCCTTGGTCTGTAGATGAGTTATCAAAAGAAACACAAAGTAAATTCCCTTAGGGCTCTGCTCCAGAAGCCTTTAAAGATCCCTCGACAGATTTGTTTACATTTTGGCCATGTGGATAATAATTTTTAATGAAACAGCTGTTAATTTTAAAATTGTGTTTTAAACAACACACATTTATTGGGAGTTACTGAATTTTATTTTCTGATTTCAAAATTGATTTTCTTCTGTATCATGTCACGTTTTGGAAAATATAACGTTCCATTACGAAATCAGTGGAAATTCCTTTTATCACAGAACTCTTACAATAATTTCTCATTGAGCTATCTAATATCTGTTGTACGGGTTGTTGTCCGACTTTTTCACCAATTTTTCCTATATTTTATCATATTATTCTACAGATCATCATAGGTTCATGAGATTATTGTCATACATGTTTTCAATCATTGGAAAAATCTTCGATTGTGTAATACAATACAAAATAATACAAGTGCAGAAGGGCACATTGCCCGTTTGGGCCGGGTCCATATTTTGTTAAATTAATAGTAGTTTACAGCAACTGGATATTATGTAGAAATATGTGCATGATTTAGAAAGTCATTAACCGTGGTCCACTGGGTTTAACATGATTGAAAATAACACGACATTTTGGCTGTAAAAAAAGGCACAAAGAGTAAATACTATTTAAGCAGCTACTGTCATGACAGAAAGGTCATATTCCTTTTAAACTAGATCACATCATCCTTTATAAGATACGTTGTTTAACAATGCATGTAAACGTCAATATTTATATGCATGGTAACTGCCGATTTACAGTATTTTTTTCTTCTTGAAAATGCGGCATTGCTATGTCATTTGCATTATTTGTTGCCAACGAAGACGCACAACCATATAAACGAGGAGGTCCCTAACAGTCCAAGAATAAAAGCCAACTTCAATTCAAGTATATTCCACTACACCTAACTTTCCATAGATGAATTAGCATAAGCCTTTACAGTAACCCCATTTCGACGGGTTTTCACCAAGCAGCTAATATTATATTCTTGAGTGTGGCAGATTGCGTGAAAATATAATAATAATATATTTGGTTACATTTGGTAATAATATATGTTCGTATTAAGTATAACAAGACAATAGTTTAGTGTACTACTACCATTGACTATAACACTAGTGTTATATAGTCAATGCTGCTACGCATCTGACGATGGAGTTATCTCCGAAACGACCGTAGTTAAGAAGGCCTATCGCCCCTGATTGCGTAGACGGTAAGAACCAAATATATTATTATAACATAGCTAATTTTAACGTAGCCACAACAAAAAGCTGTGATGCACAATGAGAGCTGTTAAAGTAGGATGGTTTACACTGTTTACAGTTAAGTTATTGTTGATATTTTTTTTATTGTTTAGGTGTAATGGTAGAACATTATAGCTTTGGTATATGTGTTATACTATAGCTTACGTAAATTAAAATAACAAAATTTTCTCAAACCGTGTCCTCTTCCATTGCATACACAAATCATGAGTATAACTGCAATAAGCAATGTATACTTATACGCCAGCCCCGTACGAAGGACGGGTAATCTGCTAGTTCTTCAATAAAAACAAACTTCAAAATTTTCAATGGGTCGAGAAGTCTACTTGTGTTGGTTAGTCTATGGCACAGCTTACATATTATACTAAATACCTAACTGATAGAGAACAATATGTAGAAGTATCAAGAACTGAGAAAAATCAAGTTATTAAATTTCAGTCAACATTAGAAAAAGTTAAATATGGAGTACCCCAAGGGTCAATACTTGGACCATTATTATTTATCTGCTACATAAGTGATATGCCGAATTGCTTAAGTAAATTAAACTCTATCAAAAATCAGCTCTGTTTGTACGCCGATGATTCAAACCTTATAATGTCTGCAAAAACTGGTATAGAATTAGAAATTCACTCCTTTGTGGAGTTAGCAAAAATTAAAGATTTATCACTAACGATTTAATTTTGAACACTCAAAACACTCAAAAGACTAACTGCATATCATTTTGCACTAAACAAAGACAAATTAAAGAGGAAATAAATATTTACATTGATAATGAGTAAATTATGCAAGTTGAAAATACTAACTTTCTTGGCCTTATCGTTGATAGAAATCTAAGTTGGAATCTGCACGTGGATAATGTCTTAAAGAAAATTAACTCAGGAATCTATGCCATCAGAAGACTGTATTATCTCTGTGATACGAATGTATTAAAAAGTGTTTATTTTGCCAATGTTCAATCCCATGTTTCTTATGGGATCTGTGTCTACGGTGGAACATCTGCTCAAAATTTGACAAAGATACTAATAGGACAGAAAAGAGCATTAAGGGCCATATTAAACTTTAAGAACAATGAATCTGTCAAAACTTACTTTACTAAATTTGAAATTTTGACTGTTTACAGCTTATACATTTAGAATGCATAATTTTTGTAAAAAATAATATAGTTTTATTACAAATAAAGATATCCACAGCTATAATACTAGGAATAAAAATAAAGTAGTATTACCAAATCATAAATTAGAATTGTTCAAAAGAAAAACTTCATACAACGGTATCAGATTCCTAAATCACATACCAGATCACATAAGAAGCATGCAGGATGATAGAGGTTTCAAAGTGAAATTGAAAGAATTTTTAATACAGAGGGCACTTTATTTATTTGATGACTTTTTAAACTTTAGAACAGATAATTGATCTTAAAATTCAGAAAACAGCAACCTGGAGTAGTGTGATAAATACTGTCCTACTAATAATTTTGATTGTAGCCTACCTATTCATGTAATTATTTATGTTCATTGTTTGACACTATTCATGTAAACATGTATTTACAAATTGTATGAATAAAGATCTTTTGATTTGATTTGATACATAACCCAGTAAGTTATCACCACTTATAGCCTACTTGAATTAAAACCAAAAAAATTATGATATATTTGAATTTTATTTTTTTAAATAAGTGGTAAATAATTAACTGTTTCACGTTCATTGTAAATTTTAAAAACCAATTTTTTTATCTTCGTACACTTTCCGTTGCAAACGCAAAATACAGGTTTAACTGCTATTTACGCACGTTGGGGAGCGAGTCGGTCTAGTGGTAGAACGAGGGGAGGGGCTTCGGTGCCCGAGGTCCTGGGTTCAAAACCCGCCAATCACCAATAGATTTTATGTATGTGATAAATGATGATGCTGCAACCCTCCAGGACTGACCTGAAGTAATGTGTAAAACAGTTCCGGGCTAGAACTAGCATCCTAGAATGTGAAGGTGGGTAAAAAAAAGCTATAAGCATGTTACAAATATATGTCAACTCTGTAAAAGGATGGCTACTCTGCTAATAATAGATCATTTTAGTATCACACTTCATTGCATAATTTATTTCCACTTTCAGACTAGGAAATAACTCTAAAGCCGGATTTTCCTAGGCGCGGAAGTGGAGAGCGGAGAGAGGAACGCAGAGAGCGGACTCCACTTGTCTTAGGTAATTTAATGTTACTGTTTTCCTAGAAGCGTAGCAGAACACCATGTTAATCTCTTTTCCGCTCTCCGCGTTCCTCTCTCCGCTCTCCGCTTCTGCTTCTTAGGAAAACCCAGCTTAAAACAGGATTTATAAAATTTAAATTTATTGGTAAAATGTTTTAGCATACACATGCAAATATAAAAGCTATTCAGAATCATATCAAAATAATCACAGATTGAACTAATATCTTAAACTAAAGGAATTTGAAGGAACTGTTTGATAGGTACCTGATTAGAACTAAGAGGCAGGTTAGAGAACAGGACTAATAAGTTAGGTACTAAAGGACAGATATGTTTCAGTTACTCTCTGATCAAGTGATGAATCATATAATCCAATGAAAATCAATATTGGGAAATTTAGAATAAGGGGCATATAATTAGATAAAAGTAGCTCAGTATACAACAATTAAATATAAAGTTAATATTAAAGTTAAAATACCTGTGAATAAAAATTAAAATTATTTAAACCAAATTGAGGTTGTCTACATTAAAACAGAAAATACTGATAGCGCTATTTAGCAGAAAACACTGAGATATGAGTTGTCTACAGTTCAAAACTACACTAAAGATGGTTACAATATAACTAGAACAGAGCACAGCGTTTTATTGGGAGGCAAGTTATCTTCCCTCATTGAGTCCAGATTTACAGATCAAACTATTCAAGTACCATAGTTCAATCGAAGATAGTTTGATTCTTGACCTGTGCGACTTCACATTAACGCATCCTGTACTTGTTAGTTTCATGCACCTCGCACAATTCTCCCTTAAACTCAATGTCAATAGAGAAGTCGAGATCTCTATTGTTGCGCTTGTTTGGCTTCATGGAAAAGACCCCGTAGATTTCCTCGTTCTTCTTGACGGTCAGATATTCATCCAGGTAGAACACTGTCTGTTTCCAGTGAGAGTAAGGGGCCTCTGGGGCTGTGCTGAATCCTATCCTCTTGTGACACTTTGTGAACTCTATAGTGAAGAAGGTAACGAGGGCTTGAATGTAGTCATTACGACGGACTTGCAGATGGAAAGGCGCTTGAAGGTCCAAGTCCTCCTTAACAACAGTGTACAGATCTACTTCCTTGATTAAGCAGGCATTTGTCACCACCTGAAACATTATATTGGATTTTTAGTGATGCCAACCAACGGGATGAACACCACTGGATGAAAAGGAGATTTAAATTGTTGCTTGAATTACAACAATTCAATCAGCTCATGTTAGTTTCTCTTCAAATGCTAATAGCATATTCAGAGACAAAAAATATTTTAATCATTGCATACAAAATTTGGAATCCAAAAAGCATTTTGAAAGCTTTCCTGGTAAAACTATGGTGTATGGATTTCATAACCATTATTTTACTAGAGACTGTTGTATTTAACCACAACGGGCTCTGTTACTAGTATATATATTTATATATGTGTCCGTTAGCGTAATAACTCGAGCAAAAATGATCCGATTTTGATTAAATTTGGTACAAACGTGTAAACCTACGTTTATTCGAACGAGTTCGCGAACCAGCATAATCGGACCATGGGAACGGGGATTTATGGGGGTAAAAATGGGTTTTTCCCATTTTTGACCATTAAAACAAAAAAAATTCAATTTCTTTTGGAACCGTTTTGTAGAGCTTAGAAAAAAAAATTAATTAGTATATTGAAGCGCTTTTGTATGCCAAACGGTCACGGAGAAAATTCAAAAATAGTGTAATTTGAAATTCCCATGTTATTCTTATGGAGAAAATTAAAACTGTTGTAGTTTACTTGTTTATGGATATCTATCTATACTATTATAAAAAAGAGGTGGTTGCTGTATGTATGGGAAAAGTAAACGCGAAAAATACTGGTCGGATTGGGCTGAAATTTGGCATGATGATAGCTCACATTCCCGATTAACATATAGGCATATTCTTATTTCAAAAATCCTTTCGGGCTCCGCCCCAGTGGCTCTGGAGTTTCCCATCCCATGTTAACCTTATGAGAAATGAAATTATTGAATCTCAACAGCTGTTTCAATTAAACAAGTTGGTTCTGTTCTGTGATGTTCAATAGCATTAAAGTTACAAGGATTACCAACAGGGTGCAGCACTAGCACTATTATTTCTTTTACATTTATGACAACAGCTAATTTGCAACCAAAAGGTGAGTGAGCGTAGCGAACGAACTTCAACCTGGAGGCGAGTGAGCGTAGCAAACGAGCTAACCTGAAGGCAAGTGAGCGTAGCGAACGAGCTAACCTGAAGGAAAGTGAGCGCAGCGAACGAGCTCCAACCTAAAGGTGAGTGAGCGTAGCGAACGAACTTCAACCAGGACGTGATTGAGCCATTAATCACAGTGAAGTACATACACACACCCATAACTACATATTAATTAATAATAGCACTTCGTTTCACATAATAAAGTTAAACCGGCCGATTTTACAGATATTTAACGCCGACGACGACATAACCCCAAACTGGTGTTTATTTGTTGACAGACAACAGACGAAACTAGACCAGCTCAACAAGTGAATTCGATCAGCTGTTATCTAGTAGTCCTAAAGTTCGCCGCTTGAGCGCGTAAGCTTCGAGCGGCCAGGAACGAAGGATTTTACTCAAAGACAGGATTATTCGTTTGACGCCGTCTTCGAAGTAACTTGTCATTACATTCGCCCGTTATCAATGCTTGCACGATCATCAATAATTTGTTTACCGAAGGTTAGCTATATTAGTTAATCACATTGATACGATTTACGTTTACATTTTCGTTTAACATTCGCATTCCCATTTCCAAATTCGATTTTCAATAAATAAATTTAATAACTTCATTTTTGCCAACTTGCATAAAACCCGCCAGTTCCTGCCTGCCAGTGACTAGCGGTGATTATCGTTTGGTTTGATTTCAATCACAATTGGTTTCAAAATTATGATTTCTACGAATGATTATTACGTACGTTTATTCTAATTAATTTACTGTTTTAATGCCCCGAGACTTGTCGTCTGAGTTCTAAGCCCCTAATGGAATATCACCGTAATGTTGATGATATCAATCTTATTTTCAAGTGTAACATAAGACAGCTCGACCTTCTGCTCAAATTCCTCAACAATATAGCGCCTAATTTGAAGTTTACTATGGAAACTGAGCAATCAAGTAAAATTAATTTCCTGGACATCACAATAGAAAAGATTGATAACAGATTAGATTTTAGCATATATAGAAAGCCTACTACGTCAAACCCATCGATATATAACAAACATGGATCGCGCGCTGCATGTGTTGCGTGAGCCGAAACGCGGTCCGGCGCTGTCAGACACCCCTCACCACAGTCCGGGCAACAACGTGCACTGCCACTACTGTCAATATAGCAGCAGAGTCAATATAAGTGCGTGGTTTTTTTTTTCGTAGTAGTATTTCTTCTACGTGATGTACTTTGATCATGCCAGAATCGTGTTCTGCATTCAATTACACAAGCAGAAGAAGTAAGAACAGTTCAATTTCGTACGAAAGAAAATCTCATACGTGATTCAGAAATGTTGAACGAGTGCATAGAATACTTACAGACTTTGAAAATTGAAAAAGTTTCAATTTTGCAGCATCCTAGAAAACCCTTTGCCCTAGGGTTCATGACTAATATATGTTCCATAAGAATTATAACCAGCAGATTATTAGATGACTTAAATTTTTAAGTACATCTTAACATAGGCTATAAGTTTTCTCAAGACGATTTTTTTAGAGCTGTTGTTTTCCACATATCTAACGTGGAGTTTGGGGAGGATAACCACGAAATTAAATGAGCAAAATCCATAGGAAACTTGTTTTTTAAGATACTTCGTTTTAGCAAAGCAAAAGAAACAATCTTAGCAGCTGTAAATGCAAAGGTAGGGATTAGGCAAAAGTTAACAAAACTTGTTTTGTTTAGCAACGTTTGATGTTTTGTACGTGAGTGATTTTGTAGTTTTGGTGTTTAATACAGGGTGTCCCGCAAATAAACAGCCAAACTCCGGGAAATAGTTCTATGGGTCAAAATAAAAAGAAAATCAAGAATAACATTTTTTCCAAAATCGCTTCGTTAACCAAGTCCCATTTTACAACTAAATATCGTAATATTTAAGCTATTTCTTATTCGAACTTTTTGAACTTTGTATTGTTTGATACGGAATAAATATGCTAAATAGAAGTGTCCTTGAAATTTTTGTCATAATAGCCGTTTTTGAGCAATTTAAGTTAAAACAATTAAAATAGCCACCATTTTGAAATTTTATGTTTAATCAAGATGATTTTTTTCTAGCATTGGTCTTATCTATCTTAACCTACATACCAAGTTTTATAAAGATCGGTTGAAAATTTCAAAAATAAAAATGTTTATGTAAAAAAAAAATGTTAGATATCTGGTTAACGAAGTGATTTGAAAAAAAATGCTTGATTTTCTCTTTATTTTGACCCATAGAACCAATTCCCGGGGATGGGCTGTTTACTTACGGGACACCCTGTATATGATATAGTTTTGCAAGATATTTTCCTGAATTTATGTACAAATTAAATTTGTACTAGCAAAGCAAACAAATAAACCTTAGCATATGTAAATGGAAATGTTGGCATTATAGGCAGAAATGAACAAAACATGCTTTATTTAGCAACGTATGATGTTTTGAACACGTGTCCTTATGTAGTTGTGTTGTTTCTTTATGATATTGTTTTATTAAGAAATGTATTTTAATAAATTGAGTGTACGGATTAAATTATAAATATGTAGGCCTACTCTTGTCTTTAATTATCGTTCCTATTTCCTCTGTTCTTATAATTTACCAAGCAAAACTGTTCCAAAACTGTTTTACATTATTGGAGTTTTTATCAAAATATATTGATTATTTTTCAACAAACAAAATCAATTAAACTTACACAATAAACAGTTAATACTGTAAAATGTAGATAACGAATGTTAAACGATGCAATCACATGTTCTGTATGTGTTATTCAAGTGTAAAATAACATTGCATTAAATGAAAGCGCTGCAGGTATGCCCGGAAAGTGGTGGGGGGAGCTGTCTGTAGCCGGACCGCACAGCTGCTACTCAGCGCGCGATCCATTGTGTTTATATATCGATGGTCAAACCAAACCATCCACAGCACCTCTTACCACCCCGTATCACATAAACTGGCCGCCTACAATAGCATGTCGCCTATTAAATGTCCCAATGACACAACAGAACTACAATAGAGAACTCAAAATCTTCAAGCAAATCGCTCTATCTAATGGGTATGACATTAAAATGGTCGATAGCTTAGTAAAGAAGTACAAAAATAAACAAACTCCAAATCAGAATCCAACCCAGCAAAACAAGAAATTCGTCTGCGTAAATTATTCTCATCCCCTGCAACACTGCCTAAAGAATGAGTTGAAAAAGCATGGAATTAAACTAGCTTTCAGAACCAGCAATAAAGTTATAAATAAGTTAAAACCTAAGATTAATAAAAATAAAGCTGACCAATCAAGTGTATATAAAATAAAATGTGCTAGTTGTCCGAGTACGTACATTGGAAAAACAGGACGTTCCTTTAGCATTAGGTACAAAGAACATCGCCCTAACGGAAAAACTGACAAACAAAAATCCATTTTCGCACAACACCTGGTTGACAATAATCACGACTTACTTGATTTGGACAATGCCTTAGAAATTCTGCACGCCTGTATAAATGGAAATAGACTAGACATCCTTGAGGAATATGAGATTTATAAAGCTCATAAAATAAAAAACAACAATGAATCCATACTAAATGACCAACTACAATTTAAATCTCACACTATTTTCAATAACATCATCAAACGAAGCAAGCCAAGGGATCAAAGTCCAAGAGATAATACCGCAACGGCTGGAACGAACTAGCAGATGTCCAGTCAGCATCCGTACACGTACTCATCATGTGCGCGCCAGGCCTGTCTTTTGTTTTTTATGTGTTTTAAATGTTTGTTACCGTGTTACGTGTGTTTATCAAGTTCTTGACGACGCCAAATCCGGTGGATGTATGTATCTGAGGATGGCATTTTGATGTTGAAACGGCCGTAATATATACGGAAACTACGGAGCTGTAACGAGGTAATTGTACAATTATATTACTTGTATTTTTCTAAGTCTACTGGTTACGTTGCAATAAAGTTCAAACTCGAGTATGTATACTTTTTGACTCGACAGTAGATAGTAGTAGATCAATTAGGTCTACCCTTGTTAAATAGTAAATACCCCCGCCGCAGCAAACCTGTAGACTAAGAATTTCAACTTGTCTGATTACATTTTTACTCAAATATTTCCATAAATAAGACATATTTATTCCCTATTTACATAACATTAGATTTAACGAGTGCTTAGGTTTGCTGCTACGGGGAAGGTAAAAAGTGTTTTTTGACCATACGTCAATACTATAGGAGGAAATAAATAAATTTGCCAAATGTTATCAATATAATATCCATAAACAAGTAAACTACTACTATTGTTGTTGTTCAAGTAGCTTATTATTATTTTCTCAGTGTCTATCGTATTATTTTGATTATCTGTTAGGTATATATATGTTGTGGTTGTTTTAAGTGTTAATGTAACTTTGCTGTGTTGCCAACCTGGCTGACGGCCTTTCCGGCCAATGCCTAAAGTGTTTATTTTACATTTCCAGATACCACGCATGGCATCGTGGTATCTGGAAATGTAAATAAAAGCAGCAATAAAGCACTTTTTCATTCATTCATTCAAGTAAACTGCAACAATTTTCATTTTCTCCATAAGTAAGGAATGACATAGGAATTTTTAATTACACAATTTTTAATTTTCTCCGTGACCGTTAGGCATACAAGAGCGCTTCAATATAATTAATTTATTTATTTTTTAAGCTCAACAAAACGGTTTAAAAAGAAATTGCCATTTTTTGGTTTTTAGGGTCAAAAATGGGAAAACCCCATTTTTACCCCATAAACCCCCGTTCCCATGGTCCGATTATGCTGGTTCGCGAACTCGTTCGAATAAATGTAGGTTTACACGTTTGTACCAAATTTCATCAAAATCGGATCATTTTTGCTCGAGTTATCGCGCTAACAGACACATATATATATATATGAATTTGAACGGATGGTGTTTTTGGCCTCTAGGGACCTCAAAACGAAAAATTAAATCGGTCCCGGGTCCAGGTCTTACCATGAGTACTACGGTTATAGCTTATTCCCTATATGGGAAATTCGCTAAAAGATCATGGTTTGGACAATCCTTACAAAAAATCTTTGAAAAATGTCAGGAATGTAGATAGACACCAAATGTAAGCCAACAGAGGCCTCAGTCAACATTGATTGAGATTCTTTACTTGAAAAAAGACAGACTTTTTCATTACACATGAATAACTAGGTATTGTGAATTTAGGTACCTAAATGACAGTAGTTTTTTTTATTTATTTATTATAAAAGTGTCACAGAAGATGTACTGTAGATTGATAGCAATGTTACCTGTTTTGGATCCACAACATCGACCAAGGGCTCACTGATGGCAATTTTCCTGATGGCACTCATGTCAAAACCATAAACATCATCCCACCAGTTTATCTTGTCGTCTTTGTACTGCCGATCCTCGATCCCACAGATAAACAACGTCGCGCGGTCAGGGAACATGAGTCCGTCTGAGGCTAGCCACTTGTCTCGGGCATACAGCACTGTGTCCAACATACTCTCGTAGAAAAGGCAATAACTGAGAACAGTTAAACAAATCTTACTACATCTTGGTTCATGTAAGATTATGTATTCAGTATTCTTAAATTATATACTACAGTACCAGTAAGCAAAGACTATTTCTTAAAAAAAAAATTAAAAAAACATTCAGACTATCTATTCTATATATTAATAAATAAGGCAAGCATGTTTCTTTAAAAACTTTTTTCAGCTCGTGTGCATCGCCAGGAAAATCCACGCATACTGTTAGAAAGATATTTTCCTGTAGATGTGTAGAATCCCCAAATTAAAACAGGCTCAAGAATAAGCACGAAAAATGAATTTAAAAATTATTAAAAAATTACCATGGGCCTTATGGGTTGCCATGCTGTTGACAAAATAACAACGAAATATGAACAGAAAATCAAAACTAATGGAAGAAATTCCAATCACATGTTTTATTTACAGCATGGGGTGAAAATAGAGAAGTCTGTACATTACATATTTTTGGTCGAGTTTTCGGCCACTGGACGACCTCTAGTTCATAATTAAACCATCACCTACTTTACACTGGAGAACTCCAAACAATAGGTAAACAATTGTAAACAAAGGTACAATTGGTAATGTATCGCCTTGTGGAAATTATAGGTACGGTACTTGGTTCTAAAAGCCCAATCATATTAAATAACTGGATTCCAAAGTTTTTGCCAAAAAATTGACTCAATTAATTAAACACGTTTAGGTTAAATGTCAAGTGGCCACTGAAACAAATGTAAAATAAACGGTGTCAGCAATTTGACACATACTTTATTCTATTGGCTTGTCGTCAACAACCCTTTACAGTAGACCCCCTCTTAACCGACCCTAATGGGACCAAGCCTAGGTCGGATAACTCAAAAGGTCGTATAAAACGGACAATCCCTAAAATCATAACATAATGAAGTGCTATTCATTTGGAATTATATAATCATTATTTTGAAATCATAATTGCATTATTTATCAAGTAAACTACTCTTATCTCCTTTTTCCTATTGATAGAAAAGTCACAAATAAACACAAAACACGGTTAAGTCAAATAGGCCTACTTTCAGTGGAATATATTATAATACTAGGCAAGAGTCAATAAAATTCCTATTTTAATAACTTTAGTACTGTAATTTATTAATTGATGCTTTACAAATCCATCGTAATACGGTACAGAACCTTTTGTCAAAATTAAAGATACAAGCAACCATTTTGTTACAAGACAGGACGTTTATTTATTGCCTCTCACTGGAGGCTCGAGGCACAAAAACTATCTTGACCTTGGAGCTGTTAACCCCCCTTCCCTGCCCTCCCTACAAGTTGCGTTGTTTGTTTACTCCAGCGATAAGATAATCAGTTCTCAAAATCGTAACACACTTTATTATGTTATACATTTGCCGCACAGACAACAAACAGATCAGATGCGCTCGAGCTACGAACGATGATGACAAACTGACAATAGGCTGTGCTATATTTTTTGTGAGCAACACAAAATAACTTATTCTTAGTCATATCCTGTGGAGATAAGCGTATGGTTCGGCTCTCATCGCCCAGCGTGGGAGCGGAAATGGCGAAATTCCTAGAAACAATGACAATGTGTCGAAACATGAAATGAAATTCAATGAGCTATTGACGTAAGTAATCTAGTCTTACAATAATATCTACAGCTCAGGGGCTTAACAATGACTTTAAACTAAGGAATATGTCGGTCTTAGTCACTAACAAGGCTACAAGATCACGCCACTCATCCTACACTCATCTCCATTCATACTTAAAATACCTACTTTGTATGGTCGCATTTCAATGAAAAGTATAATATTTAATGGGGGAATCACGAAAGTTGCAATAACTTTTGAACCTTATTTTTTTAACAGCAATAGGGGTTGTACCATTTTGTTTAGAATAGAGTTAAAAGGACCATAACATACTAAATTTTTACTAAAAGAAGTGAGAACCTGCCACATTGCACAGTAGCTATTAAGCACCACCGTCAGGTTGGAGAGGTAACAAGTATGTACCCGTCTAGGTGTCACCATGACAATATACCACCACATATGTATCTGAGGTGGCGGATTGTTGTGCTTGCTCCTGTAGGCCTTGGTTTCCTAGACCACGTCGGACGAATCGCGCCGGACAGAAAGCGTGATTACGTCATCGCGCCAGAATCTAAAGTATAGCTGGCAATGGGGATGGTTTCCTACACGACGTGGGCGCGGACGCTGCACCGCCTGTTCGACGTGACGAACCGGCACACCACGCCGGAGATATCTTTCAGTTGACTTCAGCGTGGTGCGCCAAGCACGACGTCAGAGTTATTTGGTTAATCATATTGAGTAAGTTTACGTGAAGTTACTGTATTAGTGAAACTTTAGATGGAGTCAAATGTGTTCACATCAGAACAAGATGATGCACTTATCGATTTGGTCCGAGAAAAACCTGTAATTTTTTACTTATCTAAAAAAAAAAATACAAAGATGTTCTTGTGAAGAAAAAAGTTTGGATGAAAATGAGCTTGGGAAAGACGGCATCGTATTATTCCAGGTCTTTGTTTAAAGATTGTATGGTGATCTTCTCTTAAACATAATGAAACCTACATTTATTCTAACGAGTTCGCGAACCAGCATGATCGGATAATGAGAACGGGGTTTTATGGGGTAAAAATGGGTTTTTCCCATTTTTGAACCAAAAAAACAAATAATTTAGTATACTGAAGAGTTATTATGCGCCTAATGGTTACGGAGAAAATTCCAAAAAAATTTAAATTTAAAATTCCCATGTTATTCTTATGGAGAACAAGTAAACTGTTGTAGTTTGCTTGTTTGTGAACATATTTTGATCAAATTTGGAAAATGTTTTTATTTCTTGCTAACTATTAACATTTAAAAAAAAAAAACCAGTTTTACCCTCCCTGATGCAGCAAACCTAAATACTTGTTAAACTAATTCTATTTAAATAGGAAATAAATGTTATATTTTTAAGTAGACATTTTAGTGTAAATCCAATCAGGCAAATGGAAATTCGCTTAGTCTGCAGGTTTGCTGCGGCGGGGGTATTTTACATTACCGCATATATGTAAAAAAAAATCACTATATTTACAAAAACTGAGATATAAATTTTATTCTAAATGTAATAAGGAAAAAAAAATATGTAGTTTCACCCTGTTTTTCTTTATAAACTCTAAAAATCACGACACACAACAACAGTACAATGTAAACATTCGTTCCCTAGCAACCGAAACAAACAATGACATATGGAAAAACTATCACAGAACAAGATAAATAGTTCGGGAAACGGCCGTCTTTTATACTCAACATGAAGCCCAGAATGTCCTGAACACGTTAGTATTCCCAATGGCCAGGTTTGTTCGATCTTGTGGGATTATATCAACTGACCGTAGGCCTGTCAAGTCGCCGTAATTACGGCGATTGACACTTGTGGCAAAAAAATAGTCGCTGTAATTACGTCGATTGACGCCTAGAGGGTTAAAGAGTAACCAAAAATTGTGTATCATCACAAAATAAACATTCCTTGCAAGTCCACTGCATGCTAAATATCAGAGCAATAATAACCATAGTTGAAACTGGTTGGTACAACTACAGCAGCCTTCATAACTGCGTGTGCTGCAGCTCCGCCCATCCACACCTCAATGTCAATAACGTGACATTGCGGTCAACTCCTCTTGTCGGCGAAGGGGATTCTCAAATTTAATAATTCGATTTTACAAAACATTACACAATATCTATTTATAATTTTAAAACCCAACTAGTGTCCCCCTGTTCGATTCATTTTAATCATTATAAATCAAAATTAAGTAAAGAAAAATTAATGACAAATTTAAAAATTAACAAAAAAAATATTTATATATATATTTCTGAACACTAGGTCTAAAGCTATATTAATAAATAACAATAAGGAACTAACAAAAAATACCCCCGCCGCAGCAAACCTGTAGACTAAGCGAATTTCAACTTGTCTGATTACATTTTTGCTCAAATATTTCCATAAATAAGACATATTTATTCCCTATTTCAATAGCATTAGATTTAACGAGTGCTTAGGTTTGCTGCTACGGGGAAGGTAAAAAGTGTTTTTTGACCATACCTTAATAGTATAGGATGAAAAAAATAAATTTGCCAAATTTTATCAATATATATCCATAAACAAGTAAACTACAACAGTTTTAATTTTCTCCATAAGGGTCAATTTCAAATTGAGGGAGAATTCATGTCCCACCAATTTTTTTCAGTTATTTATTTGATTACAATTTTAAATTAATATTCCAGTGATAGTTCTTTATATGAAGCACCCTATGGATATGAAAAAAATAATAATTTGTTAATTTATAGTGTTCAAATTAATTTTTTAAAGCCATTTTCGTCAGGTCGCTAACTGTCTCCACCAGCCAAAGTCATTCCATATAGCAGTGTATTTCATAAATAAAACGATTTAAAAAATTTTTGAATGCGTTTTAATATTCCCTAATACTCCTTATTTCCATATGAAAAGAGTTTTCAAACTTAATAGTAACATGAAACACATTATTTGATAATATATGTGCGTCCCCGCTATACGGCGCCGATCGTACACGGCATTTTGAAATTGCCGCCAAGCCGACGAAAACGCGGGAAGAAGGACGGCTTGGTCGTCTGTTTATCTGTGAACGATACACGAGTTGGTTTGTGCGCTGTTTTCAGCAAATTCATTTTGGAATTATTTAACAAAAAACTTCTATTTAGGTAAGTGTTGAACGTATGTTAATTATGAATCAGGTCGCTAACGTTTATAATTTGCTTACTGATAGAGGAAATGTTTTAAAAAGCTTCAATACGTAACAACAAATTAACTCTGCCCTAACCTCAAAGTTTGTTTGGCCCCATGCGGGGTTTGCCGATTCAGTGTAGACAAAGACGTCCAAATTACTCAGGTCGCTAACGATCAGATCGCTAGCGTTGTCGACCTGACGCGATCATGACCGTCAGATCGCTAACATTGTCGACCTGACGGAATCTCGTTGCT